AAAAAAAAAAAAACAGAGATTTTGAGGGTTTTTTCTTTCTCAGGTTTGAAGGTCCTGTCTCATTTTGTTATTGCAGGGAGATACTTTTAACATATTTTTTCTCTTGCCTTCTTGTCTTGTGAATGGAAATACATGATGGAATCAATCCTCAATTTATTCATTTATTTTTAACTTCTCTGGGTTCTTTTGTATACGGAAGCTTCAAGAGTTGCTTTTTATAACTATCTCTATATTTATTAAGAACTTACCATAAGACATGTTTTCTTTGCATCTGAATTTAAGTTATCAGCATAGCCTATGAACAAGGCAGTATGCATGCAACGGCTGATACTTCTCCAATTTTCTTAGGCTTACAGGAAGAGCAGTTGTTGAATTTGCAATCGAAAAGGGCAATGGGTTAACTTTTTCTCCTGAAGCTGCAGGTCAACCCAGAAACACCGCAATAATTCAGGTACACTGCATCATTCATTGTGTCAAATATTGTTCGTCTTGCTTTAGTCCAGTTGACTTATAATCTGTTAGTGTCAGCAATATATGATCACGATGAGTAATCTTGCATTATGTCAACCTCTAAGAATTAAGAATGTTGTATGTTTCTCACATTAGTTTGTGTTTAGGTTCTAGTTTTAACGTCTGACCCATGGAGATGCATTTGATGCTTATAATTATCACTAACTATCAGTGAGTTGCATGTTTCTGATTAATTAATCTGTTCTTTAGGTTGTGTTAGATGGGTACTCAGCGCCTCTTACGGCAGGGAACTTTGCAAAACTGGTAAGGTAGTGCAATCCAAACTTCACCTTCTTTAGTGTTTCCCATTATTCTTACCCAACAAAATATTAATTGTGGTGTTCTTTTATTGCTTTCTATTTTCTATCTAGCATTAGTTACCGAGCACGAGTAGCAGAAATCTTATGCTAATTATTACCTGCTATTTTTCAATTTACGAGACTGGAGTCCGTTTAGAATATAAGTTTTCAAGTTGCTAATATATGATGCTAGTTCTGTGAATTTCCACTTTGAATTCCGCCTCAGTGATTAAAGTACTTAGATTTTCAGTAATGAAAGTAAAAACACAAATGACATGATGATCTAGCACAAATACAAAAAGTAGAAATTTTGTGGTCAACAACAAAAAGGAAGGATGCAACATAAATCACCTCTTCTGCATTTGCTTCAAATGCTCAATAATCCATAATGGTTGGTTATTGGTTAATTAATTCCCCTAAAGAGTGACAATGCTCAGAATAAATTTCTCCCAGAATGGAGATATTTTAGCCGATCGACATTCAAATGTTTACCGCCAGAGAAAATGACGACAGAAACATCCAATATTATTCGGCTTTGATAATCCATATGCATCTTCTGCTCATTAAAGAAATGTTTTGCTAGCTCATATTCTGGTAGTATATTGTAGGTGGTTGATGGGGCTTATAATGGAGTGAAACTTAATTGCACAGACCAAGCTATTCTCTCTGATGGTAATGCAGCAAAGGATAAGGGTTATAGTGTCCCCTTAGAAATAAAGCCGGCTGGCCAATTTGAGCCGCTCTACAAAACGACACTCAGTGTCCAGGTTTATTGACGACTATTATTTTCATTCACACTACTTAAACATCGAACTCCGTTTATTTTTGTTTTCCATGGATGAAAGACATTTGCGTTTTTATGAGTTAAAGGATGGTGAGCTGCCTGTGCTTCCACTATCAGTTTATGGTGCAGTGGTCATGGCTCATAGTGAGGTCTCTGAAGAGTATTCTTCCCCAAATCAGTTTTTCTTCTATTTGTATGACAAGAGAAATGTGAGCAGTTTCAGACTTTTAGTTGCATTTTATTCTCCCGCACATTAATATATGTACATAAATTTGATCGAATCGAGTAAATATGCTCGTTTTTGGACAGGCTGGCCTAGGAGGGTTATCGTTTGACGAAGGCCAATTTTCTGTCTTTGGGTATGTTTTCTTTTAATGTATACATACTTTAGTTGAAAGATGATTTTATGGTGACAATAAGATAAGGAAATTACTAGGTTCAATATTCTTTTACTTAAGAGATAGAGTTAACCTTATGCGCAGTTACACGACCGCTGGACGTGAAATTTTATCTGAGATCAAATCTGGTGATGTGATCCGGTCCGCAAAGCTGATAGAAGGCCAAGACCGCCTTGTTCTGCCCAAAGAAAGTTGAAAGAATGGTTGTTTGTGCCTTTTTTTATTTATTTTTTACTTTTTTAATATGATTTCCTATCTTTCCATGCATCGAATC